AAACAAAGAGACTTCACGTAATGAGGTTTTTCCAGAACTAACTCTTGAGCAATCATACCGCCCATGGAAATACCAATCAGATGAATATTTTGAGTCCAACCAAGATAATTCAAGAGATCAATTGCATCATGAGCCATTTGATTTGTACTAATGTAATTGGAAATTAATCAGATTTATCGAATAATAGGGTTATGCTTATTAGTATGTCCATTTACCTGTACAATCCATATGGCGAATCTTTAATGAATAAATTTATTTTAGGTTAATCTATTTTAAAGTAATATTTATAAAATTTCAAGTTTAATTACAGACCTGATAATCCCACACCGCGATTATCAAAAATGCAAACCTGGTAATCTGGATGGCCGCCAAAGTGTCTTGCCTGGAATATTATGTAAATAATTAGACCGAATATTAAACCAACTCATTTAAAAAATATATTTATTTAATATAGAATTAATTGGTATAATACTGTTACCTGGTTGTCCCAGCCTCCAGAAGTGGTGTTTAAACCTTTCATTTAAAATAATATTGGGGATTATATTCTTTCGATCGATTAAAGAAAAGAAATTAAAAATTACCCATAATAAAGAATAATTTATTAGGTCCATGGCCATGCAATTCGTAATAAATATTTAGATTTTCGGTTCCATCATTACGATGTTTGCCGCCAACTTTTGCATGACTACTTTTTACTAATGTCATCTTAAAAATTATTAAATCCTTGAATGATAATCAGCATATAGTATATTTATGGTAACATTTATTACGAGGGTGCACCCTGTTAATTAAAAAAGACCATGCATAATAATAACACGCATCTTACCTCTTAAAAAGTATTCTTGCACAAAATGACCGCGATCGAGCCGAAAACCGACTGTCCTCACATTAAATCTGATATTCTTGATAACTGGCGTAGAGAAATCGTTGATGGTAAGAAACAGTTGAAAAGAATTATAATCCACATATTAAATTCCATTTTATAGTTAGTAAGCCTTGCCTCACTTGTCACGATGTGAGTGAGAACTGGCGATGTTTGGAGTGCAATATTGTTCTTTGCTCTAGGTAAAAACAGCAATATTTAACACATCGTATGTCTTAATTCTTATAAAAATCTTATTTCAAATTGATAATATAACTCTAGCTATGTTAATGGTCATATGAGGGAGCATAATCAACAAACCGGACATCCATTGGTAGTTTCTTTCAGCGACCTTTCCTTTTGGTGTTATTCCTGTGATGAATACGTGATTAGTCCGGTTAGATATCGTTGTAATTTGATAAATTTTATCTGAACGTCAAAAGTTTGTATTCACATTGTTACATCTCTTAGATTCTTCACCCCATTAAAGTTTCCATTTACGTAGCCAAGTTTGGGGAACTTCCCCCGGATTATCATGATGCTTCAATCACCAATGGAGAAGACATGGGTGGAGAAGGAAGCTCGGCTAATCCTTCATGAAAGTTTTTCAAGCTATAACGTACCCAATTGTTGTGAAAATGTGTATATATTTGTATGATAAATATGATATTTTAAACAAAAAGATATATTTATTTTTTTTTAAATAAACAACATATTAGCAATTAAAAAGTAAACCATGATTTAATAAATAATTTAATTATTATAAGTTATGTAACAACTTAAAGAGTTAAATAGTTTTTGTTTAAAGAAAATTTTTTGTAAAATTTTTTATAAAACAGTTACTGTATATACAGTATGCTACTTTTTATCAATATGTGAAATATCTAAAGATGCATTAAGCCTTATGGTTTAACATTAGCCTATTAATTAATTTTTTTTATATTTTTATAATATAATATAAAATATATTTATAAAATTGATATATAACAAAAAAAAAAGATTTTTTTATTAGTTAAATATAAGTTTATAAATAAAATTCTCAATCATACAGTTATTTGGTTTAATATATTATTAAACAATAAATATTTAGAATCAAAATTTAAAATTAAAAATAATAATTAAAAATTAAAAAATAATATCATATGAATTAATAATATAGTTAGTACTTCAAAACTTATATTATAAAATATTATGTTTAACTTGAAATAAAGACAATTGAACCAAATTAAAATAATATTTGATATTATAACTTGTTATATATTGTTTTTTATAAGAAACTAATTTATTTTTATTTTTATTGTTTTTTTTTTAAAAGCTAAAGTACAATACATATATGGATTTTATTGTTATATCAGTAAAAATTATATATATCTATACATGAACAGTCTATTAATTAATATCAATATTAATTATATCAATATTAACTAATACTATTTGTTCTTTTTACTAGGATACCAACTTATATTTTATAAGTGTATCTATATTTTAATTTATGCTTAATAGAATCTGATCTTAATTTTAATATATTAATTGTCTCTAGGTTTCTTATTATATTCATATCTCTGACTTATATAACTATAATATCTATAGACTTACTTCTTTATACTTTCTAATAAATATTCCAAGAATTATTTCTATAATTGATATATATTATCAAATCTAAAAACTACAAGCTGAATAAAATATAACTTCTAAATTTTTTAATAGATACTTTATAAGCTTTTGATTAACTTAAGTTACCAAATATAAAAATACAAATATTAAGCAAAGTACAACTCCTGTAAAGTTACTATTGGCTTTATCTATGTATTTATATTTTTATAATAATCCTTTTTAAAGTTGTTTAATAAGATTAACATACTTCTTATTATAGAATCTGCCATATTAAAGAAAATGTAAACTTGTAATAAAAATTAAATCAGAAGTCTTTTTTTATATAACTTTCTTTGCTTTGACCTGTTTTCAACTTGCAATTGTTAAGAAGATCAAAGATTTCATTTTTATATAACTTAACTAAATTTAAAATTTAATTTTTGGCTAATTAGATACAATATGAATTAAAAACTAGTTAATCAATTATAAAAAAAAGAAATTTTTATAATTAGATAGATTTAAATCCTAAATCTTTTTCTAATAACTTATAAAATATTATTACTATATCGTAGACTATATATATGGCATAAATTATTTTGCTGTTGACTTAATTCCTAAAATTCTCAAAAATAATTACATCAATTGTGTCAAAAATCTACGAATTTCAATAATATATATATCATAGACCTATAAGTCTACAAAAAACTAATTTATATATTAATTTAATAAGTATTAAAATTATAATACTTAAAGGTAATACAATATTTATTTTCAATTAATAAATTTGATAATTACTTTTTTATAATATCTAATATCTTTTTATAAAAATCTAGTAAGGTATTATTTTAATTTAATAATAAATTGGCTATGGTACCTTTATACAAAAAGACATTTACTTTCCTTCATCTCCAATACTACTTTGTTTATTGTATATCAAGTTATATTTAAAAAACAGGCATGTTAACCCTAATTATGACTTGAAGGCCAACCTGTATAGATTGGCTGCAACACCTTTATATAATTAGATATTCATTTATCTTTAAATAGCTAGATACCATTTAAAGCAATAATATAGATTTTTGAATTTCTTTTTTTCTATATTGCTTGAATTATATCAAAAGAGTATAGGGGTTAGGCCTATTTTGAAGCCTTATGTTAAACTCTTTCTAGTAAAGAGAGACATATGTCATACTATTGATATTGTATCTTGTTTTGTAAGTGAAAGTATAATAAATATAATAAAGTATAATAGCCATTTGCTCTTTTCAAAAAAAAATTTTTTTAATAATAAATTATTCTAATACTATTTATTTCAAAAATATATTTAATTATAAAACTTATATAATAGTAAGAATATATAATTAATTAAATATACTAGTTCAAATTAGATTATTTGGTTGTCAAATTACAGTTAATTAAATTCAAATTTATTAATAGAAGTTTATATCAAACTTTTATTATTTGGTTCAATTTATATCATTTGACATTTAAAAAATATATGATAATTTAACAAAAAAAAAATATAATATTCAGCAAAAAAATAATTATTTGATAATAAAATTATTTAGGAATTAAAATATTTGGCAATAAAATTATTTGGTAATAAAATCATTTAGCAATAAAATTATTTGATAAAAAAAATTCAACAAAAAAATATTTTTAGTTAAAAAAATTTATTGGCAATAAAGTTATAATAAAAATTATAGTATTTGAAATAAATTTTATTATTTAATTATAAAGTTGACAAAATTATTTAGCATTATATACTTTAATAAAATCAAATTATATATTTTCAATAAAAAAATTGCATTTATAATAATATTTGACAAATTTTAATTAATACTTGATAAATTTATTAAAAATATAAAAAATTTGAAATTTGAAATAATTATTTGTTTATCTTTCATTAATCATTCACCAATTAATTATTTAGTAATTGTTCACTTATTATTCATTAATTATTCACTTATTATTTACTAAATTCCTTCTCTATTTTTTTATTCAAATCTTCTTGCTCATAATTGTTTTTTTCTTTTGCTAATTTTATCATGGTTCTTGTAACTCTCAAAGATTTTATAATATCAAATTTTTTTTATTTTGGAAATACTTTTTTGTAATTTTTGTACTTCTTGTACTTCTTCTGCTTTTTGTAATTTTTCATTAATTTTATTCTTTAATATTGCTTCTTGAATTTTATCTATTTATGCACTTTCTATAGTTTGATACTTCTTTTTCTCTAAATATATAAAATGATTTCTTATAATTAGAGATCTTTCATCTTTTATGTTTTTTACTAATTGTTTATCTTTTTTGTTTTATTCTATTTCTTATTTTTTATTTTCTGATTTACAAGTTCAACTTGACAAGTTTTCTGACAAGATTATATTGTAACAATAAAATTCACTATAGTTTTACTTATAAGTTGATTAAAATAGTTAAATTAACTTTGAATATTCATTTAAATTTTCCAATAAATTTTTCAACTATAAAATAATTAATAATGAATTAATTATTTGACATAAAATCATTGATTAAAAAATATCTCATCAGAATATCAACTATAGTCATTTATGTTTATTCTTTTCTTATTATCATTTTTTGAATTAGTTTCACTTTCTTCAATCAAATGAACTTTTGGTTCTTTAACTATATCAATCAATTCCTTCCAATATTTTGCAATACTCTTGGACTTTTTGTTAATAAGTAACTATACACTTTTGATTCTTCATGCTCTTTTCTTTATTATTCATTAAAAATTAATACAAGTAATATAATATAAATATTAATTAATTTTATCTCATTTAATTAGTTATTTGTATATAAGTAATAATTGTTTATATTTAGTTTTCCTATTTGTGTCTTTTAATATCTTTCTCTTTGATAACAATATAAAGTATCTAACCAATTATATAACTACTTTCATAATAAATTAAAATATAAAGTTATTAATTTTAATAATGTAGATATTAACTTGTTTAATATTTTTTTATTTGCATTATTTGAAAAAATCTTGTTTATTCTTAGTTGAGGTTCTTTAGAGATAGTTTTTATCAGAATATTTATTTTGGCTTTTTTTTTTTTTATCTTTAAAAAAAGTTTTTGGAGTTGTGACTATTTCTATTATTTTATTTTTTTCTTTAAACTGAATTCTTTAACTCCTTAATATATTTGGCACATTTTTAGAATCTGAAATTATATATTCAGCTTCAGCTTTAGGTACAGGTTCAGATTGGTATTTAGATTTGAATTA